GACTGCCATACGCTTGGAGAGGCTCGTGGTGGCCCAACTGAAGGACATGGGTGACATAGACGAGTTCCTCAGCTCCTTTGAGAGGGCCTGTGAACTGCAACGGGTCCCCCTGGCTGACTGGCTGCAGGAGCTCATCCCCGCACTGAACCAGGAGGCTGTCAGGGTGCTCAATCAGCTGGAAGACCTACAGCCAGGTGATTACCAGTGGGTCAAGGAGGCCCTGCTGCCCTGTCCCCTGAGACATTCTGGGGGATGCAGAAGGAGCCACGGGAGACCTATGTGGATATGGCCTGCTGCCTGGTACAGTACTGCCACAAGTGGGTGTCCGGGGTCAGAGCCCAGACCACAAAGGACCTGCTTAAGCTGATATGATGGAGCAGTTCTATGAAGCATGCACACCCACCCTGAGGCTGTGGCTCAAGGACCAAAGTCCAGAGAACCCCCAGGAAGCTGGGAGGCTGGCAGACGAGTTCACAGAGAGCCGGTCCGGTTCACAGGAGTCCCGGAGAGAAAGGGAATCGCGCAAAGACCGGATCTCGGCTGAGCGACGGAGAGAATCCTCTATGAGGCGAGCCCAAGAGACAAGGACCAGCCATCTGCGCCTCAGAGAACCGGCCAGGGCCCGGACAGAGCCGGCCCAAAGGGGCCCGCAGTACCTAACTTGCCATCGCTGCAGGCAAAAAGGCCACAAGAGGGCTCAGTGCACCAGGCACCAAGACCTGGGATTTCCCAGGGTTAATTGGCTGGGGGAGGGGCAGGCTGCCCCAGAGGCTGGGGCTAGCAGGCAAACTTCAGCTCATAGTGGAAGGAATGATGCTCAGTGCCCCTTCCCTGGGAGGTCCGACCCTCGGGAGGCGGATTTCTCTGTGTACCAGGTGGGGGCAGGGCGGCCCCTGCTGAGCGAGTGCCTCGTGCCCCTGCAGGTGGATGGCAGGGAGGTGACGGGCTACTGGGACACGGGGGCGGAGGTGACGCTGGCCCAGCGTGAGGTCATAGCCCCAGACCACATGGTACCTAACACTCAGCTGACCCTGAGGGGCATAGATGGGACCCCGTTTAAGGTGCCCGTAGCCCAGGTGCATCTGAAATGGTGGGCCAAGGAAGGCCCGAAGGAAGTGGGGGTGCACCGGCACTTACCCATAGTGGTGATCATGGGGGGTTACCTAGAGGAGTGGCCAGACCGACCCCACAGGGCCCTGATTACCACCCGTAGCCAGAGCCAGCAAGGGGCTGGCGACCCTGACCCAGGGGAGGGGTCCCTGCATGGGGCTCCGAGTCCCATT